ATTCCGTTGACCTTGATATCGGATCTAAGTGAACGTAGTCCTTGGCGAGAGTCGGGTCGGATTTGATGTCGACCTCAAGCTTATCGCATTCCGAAAAATAGCATCTTTTCCCAAACTGCGAGCGAGTCTTTACGTAAACGTACTGAGGCTCCATCCTTCTCGGCAATGAGTTTCGAACTTTGATCCTTTACGGCAAATGCATATTTCACGTTCACGCGAACGACGGGATTCCAACGATTGTTGAGGTTAACATCATCGTCCGCGCAACAAACACTTAATCGCTTAATTTTCGTCAAATTCGCTCAAACTCTGTTTCGCCGGTATCTCAAGCTTTGCTACTTTTGTTACAAACAATACAAATATAAGAGAGCGATGTAATTAATTGGCGTTTTATCGGTGCTGCGTCGATGCGTATATTTGTATAGCGTCACTTGTCGCGCCTTTTTGTTAAATCGATACGAGATCTGCGAAACAGCTCGCGGCAACTTACCAAGAGAGCACACATCCTTTATTTATAAAGCATCGGAGGCTTCAATTTTTCACGAGAGATTAAACGAGTTATGTAACGAGCGCAGGCTACATCGGTACATTTTATAAATTAGCAACGTATTAATCCTCGGATTCCGTTTTCGCCAAAACTGGAACTGTCGGGTTGAGAATTTGTATCATAGTAACGATCATTTTGTATATTTTGACAAACTCGTGGCTCGTCGGATCGAACAATTCCTTCAACTTTGGTATGACCATCATCGTCAATAGCTCTATCAATGCCATCTCGTATGTTTTCCTTTGAATTTTCTGAATAAAATCGTAAAAACATATCAGCTGATTGTTGTCCGAGTATATGGTGCATTGCGATCCAAATATTCCTATAAATTTATGCAAAATTATTATAAGCCAACGTTTAATGACTAATAAGTAAAATAATCCTCGTTATAATGTCCCAGTGTATATGTGTATATTCGATTTAATTTGTCCGTTCCACGATTTATTTGAAGCGTAATCTCGAATTCGTGTGAAATAATTTAAAGTCGTATAATGGTAATCGAAGCGAAATATAAAACTAAATATCGGCAAATCGAGAAGAAAAAAAATTATTAACTTTTCTAATTCGTACAAATGGATAAAAAAAAAAAAAAATACTTTGAAATTGACACTTTTGCATTAATGCGTAGAAATTATGAATTAGAGCGACGACTAAAATTTACGTCTAATATCTCGAATAAATTTCTATACCTTTCATATTGGGAATACATAAGTAATTCCATATGCCATTGGACATCCAATTTTTCGTATCGAATATAAATTCATCATATTGTACATTTTCGTTCAAGAATGTCAATTCGCCAGATTTCTGTTTAATATTATAATCGTCGTATAACAGTTGTAAGGCCTTAAATTGCGATCGAAGCTCCTTCAATTGAGCTTTAGTCATGTTGGAATTGAAAGAGTCACTGTATAATAATGAAAATCCATTAAGTAAATCGTGATAAGTGCTCAAATCGGTACGATTCTTTTTTCGATTCTGTAAGAATAATTAACATTAAGAGATATTGCATTTTGACATGACGAATATTAACACTTTACACTATCGAATATTCGTATCAATGTGCGCGTGAAACCGCAATTAGTATTTTATTTGCTGCTAAAGCGTCGATACAAAACCTCTAAAGAAAAGCGAATTTTATGATTATTCGATACATTAAAAAGCAATACGTTTTATATATTTTTTTTTCTTCTTCACAAATAATAAATAGAATCGACTAGTTAAATATCGAAAAAAGAATAGATTAAAATTAAGATAGATTTTGTAAATAAATTGCAAAAATATAATTATTAATACAATAATGAGCAAAACGATTACATTTAAATGCGAAAAAAAAGGAAAAAAAAAAAAAAAGGAAAAAAAAAAAAGTTAATGGATTTTTAAGTATTCGAGAATGCGGGGAAAAAAGTAACCGAAGCGCGTGGGCCGTGTAGGTAAACGTTATCCCGATCTTTCTATCCTTCTCTAAAACTCACAATAGCCTCGAGGTTGGACAAAAAGTTGTTGGCCGCTTCCGGCTGCTTCTTCGAAATCATCTTGGCATCGCGAAAGACTTCCAACCTCACGAAAGCATGATAAGTCTTCAGGATGTTGAGCAAGTTTCCGGGCACGCCGATCCTGTCCAAGCCCTCGACCGCGTCCACCGACGTCACGACCTTCTCCTCGACGAAGTTCAACGCCCCCTTCGCGTGGATCGGGCAATTGTCCCTCGCGCTCGACGAACTCACCCTCGTCGAGGTCGCAAACGTTTTTATCAAACTGTTCAACTTGCCGAGCGTCTCCATCTCCTCGCTGCGTACGCTCCTCAAGAAATCGGAACTTTTCGCTTTCGCTGATCTGCCGCCCATCCCGCTGCAACCAATGCTAAAGTATTATTGTGACAAAAGCCCTGGCTAATGAAAGGCAATAAAGTCTTAATAAACGAGAGATATTACAGCCTATCATTGCGATAATCTTCGTAAAGCCAAGGTCAAGGTTGATAGGTTGAAAGAAGTGACTTAAATTTTTACAAGGCAAGGTAACGTGGCACTTTAGAGGTTGAAAAAAATCGACAATTAATAATAATTGCCTCCAGGCCAGAAGCATTGTTCTAGACATTGGATCATCTGGGACATTGGAACTTACCCATCGGCGCTTTTCCTCGACTTTTCCAACTGACACTTGGGCGGACGCTTGTCGGCTGACTTATTATTGGCGCTACGCACGCTCAGCTTATTGGCCAGGATGAAGTTGGGCTGGCTGGACTTGGACCTGTGGGTGCTCGTGAGCCTCGCGAGGTCGTTGTCCCCGGAGATTCTGAACTGGCTCCAGGCGGGCAGCCGCGTTCTCGCGCTTTCTCTCGCGTTCTCGTTGCCGACGTTCCGGACGCTCGAGACGCTCCGTAATCGCGCGCGCCTCTGCTCCTCGGCGGGCCTCTGCTGGGAGACGCTCCTGTACTGAGACTTGGACCGAGGCGCGTTTGTGTTGGCCTCCTTGAGGGGTGGCGGCGCCCTCGTGTAGATCTCCCGAGTGCTCGGCTTGCGGGACTCGCGGCGCTCCTTGTTCAAGTTCACCGCGAGCTTTTCGCGCAGCTGCTGCGCGTGAAGTAACGTCTTGGCGATCTCTTCGGCTATCTCCTCCGGGTTCTCCATTAATCCCTAATTGACAAATTAACATCCTTGTAACGTGTCGCGTGTTTAAACGACCTTTTCGAATCCAACGAAGCTCCTTTGTTCTAGAGGTCGTTGAAATGGCGACACAATCGAGGGAAAGCGGCCCACGTACATGGCCAGAGTGCTTTAACGGTACATGGATCGACACTTACACTTTATGGCAAAATTCCAACTGTCCATTGTGCTGGCTGTCGATTTTTCGGAATACGAACGATCGCTCGGAAAGCGGTAATCGTGAATTTTTCGAAATAGTATTAATATCCAACCCCCGTTCAATCGTAATGAAATGAAATCGAGCGAAAACTTCATAATAACAAAAATCTTGAGGATGTAGCATAAAAATATTGCTATGTGTAAAAATTAAAAAAAAAAAAAATTCAAATTAATGTAAACAAGACAGATATTCGAAGTAACCGTAACCGAATGAAGTTAGCGGATAAATGTATAGAAGCAAAAATAAAAGTATCTTTACATATCTACACATTTTTTAATGATTTTAACATTAATCGTTAAATCTATGCAACAGAGTGCAGTTTAACCGTACGACATTGACGATTACATGCACATGCAGTTTTTAACGTAACTTAAAAAAAAAAAACGTATTGTTATCCTTTTAATTAGCCTGTACTTCGTTTTGTCGTTGAATTTTCGAAATGCAATTTCCGTCCGTTTGTACTTTGGCAAATTCACGACAAATAAAGCAAATACTATTTTTGTCAATACCAGTGTTAAATTAAAAAGAAACAAAAGCATATTTATCATTCTAGTCAAGTATTTCAATGTATTTAAAATAGTCTATTAGCACTATGAGAAATGCATGAAGACAAAGGCTTTGTCCAGAAGGTGAGGCCTTACCCTCCATTTATACGGATATCAAAACAGCGTGTAAATAATTTTACTTAAAACAATCCATACTTACTGCGATCAACGATAAACAAATACATGAAATCATTAAATTTAAATATATATTTGAAATATACTTTTATTTATATATAGTAAGGTGAAAGTAAACTGATTGAAATTTTCAAACAATTCAAGTGGTTGCAGTGTTTGTTTGGCCTGACATACAAATACATCGATAGTAGTTGCGATTTGTCAAGACTAATTGAAACAAATGTTAATTTAAAATACCGCGATTTCTATAAAATCAATGTTCACTATTTAAAAGACAAAAAAAAAAAACAAAAACAAAAAAAAAAACAACAACAACAACAAAAATGACGCACAATAATTTATAATTAATTCCTTACATATCAAATTATTGTTTACTAATATATGCTCGATAAATCAAAGCTTTAAAGCAGACGGATACGAAATACTTCCTTCATTAGTATAATCTCACAATACCTAAAATGCATGCATTGAAATTTTGTCTTTCCAGCACAGATACCAACACAAGATAGCCGTATTTCAAAATTGTATTAGTTAAATTGCTATATATCGTCTAAATTTATGTATACTTTTCAAATAAGCAAGCAACATTATTATCTATACTTATCGCCAAGTTATATTTCTCAAACGAGCCACTTTTACGTAAATGCTATTTATAATTGTTGAAATAGTTTCTTCTATTACCACAAAGTCTAATAATAACTATTAAAGACTCTAAATTTATAGTTTGTGTAAATAATTACTATACAACGTTTGTATTTCTTTAGAACTTTTATGGTAATTTTTGGCAAAGTAACTCGCATTAGTCACTCTACGTAAATCGTTTGCGTTATAACGTTTCTTTTAATTTTAAACGACGAATTTAAATTGAAATAATAAATAGAAAATGTTTTATCGATGATAAATCAAATTAATCCAATATAAAAGACATAGATTTATATTAGCTTTTAATCATTTAAGACTAATGGAAAAATATAATTTATTTAAAACTATACGATTAATAAGTGAAATTGTCAAATTGCTAATAAGCAGTGTGGACGGCATTATGTTTCAAACATAATCGAATTAATTATTTATCCCATGCTGCATTCATTCTATCAATAAAATATAATCGATTAAAACGAAATCATGTTATTCTTACTTCTTCGCAACTGCAAATATTTTTGTCAAGTTGCCGAACAACCGTGCTTTCTATAAGCCAAGGTTTTAGTGCAAATTTGGCTTCTTCGCATTCCATTTCCAAAGTCTTCTTTGTCCTCTCGGTGTCGGACAACATGAGATGAACGAAGTTGTATAAAACTTGCAAACTAAAACATTCATCCATCGCATGTCCATTTTTATACTTGTCATCCTGTAGTATTAATAAAATCAAATAAAAATCAGCATACAAGCATTAATAATAATGATAATAATGATAATAATGATAATAACAACAACAACAAAAACAACAAAATAAACAACAAAAATATAATTTTTAACAAAATTTTTAATTATAAGGCAAATAAAATAAAGACAGTAAATTCCTTTCAGAACATTAACCACTCCATTGTATTCAATATTGATATCGTTTTAAAAAATGAAAAAAATATAAGCTAATTTCACTTTCATATTTTTTTCAAAAACAACTAGAAAACTTAATCGTGTAAAATTACAAAATATTATTAATGTTATCTATTTATACAAATTTTATGTATAAATATAATTTATATTAGTCGCGTGGACAAATTTACATATTCAAATTATCACGAATTGTTTTATCTACACGTAGGATATAGTAACAGAGAAGACAGTCTCATTGACATTTACAAAATATTTAATTATATATATATAATATATATATTTTTTTTTTTTCATATAAGGTACACACACACACACACACACACACACACACACATATATATATATATATATATATATAAAGAATAGATATATGTGTGTTTATGAACATAAGGAGATTCTGCAGACTTTAATTTGTGGGTGAAAATAACTTCTCTCTCTCTCTCTCTCTCTCTCTATCTATACATAAGGTTTATTCTCCGTTTATATAGGAACACGATTATTTATTTCTTCCTTTTTCTTTTTCTTTCTTTATATATTTCTAATCTTTTAATTAATATTAATGCTATTAATATATCCATTTTTATAAATTGGTCTGCGCTTACATGAATAATAACTTGTAACTTAATTTTTGGACATTTTTTATTTTTCTAAACACATCCCATACAATCATATAATAATCAAATCGTAAAAACATATTTAAAAATCTTCAGGTTGAAATAATCTGAAATATAAGTGTGACAGTACAATATTAAAATAAATGACGTATCGATTTCAAGGAATATGTAATTTTATTAAATTTACTGCAGAATCTCCTTAAAAGATATGAATTTCATATTCCTTCTATTCGTGCCGCCTTGCATTCATTTGTTATTTATTATGTTACTATTTGAAAACAAAGCAAAGAAGAAAAAAAATGCATCAATCAGTCGGTGAAAAAATTTAAAAACTATAAATAGTTTTTTGTTTTATTTAAAATAATTCGTAAAATAACAATAGTTTAATTGAATTCTGAAAAGTGGAATTCGTTAAGGCACCCGCCAAGAAATGCAATCGGCAGAGTTGTCGTTAAAAATTTTTCTTGCTCTCTGTATCCTTACTGTATATTTTTCTCTCTCACTCACGCACGCGCACTTTCTTTCTCTCTTCCCCTGCTGATTCACCGGAATGGCTAACAAAGTCGGAGTTTAAGAAATTGAATTTCATTTTCTAAAAAAAGAGCACTGTTATTAAATAATGCAATAAATAAGAACTGCGTATCCAGTATGTTGTGTCTAAAGTATCTTCGCAGAAAAAGAGAAAATAAGCTTTGAAAAGAAGAAGTTTATATGATTACGGCGCTGATGGAAGACGAGCGGCGTAAGTACAATATCGATCTAAATTGACGTTCCACATAAATTAACAGTGAAAAATTGGTAATAAAAAATTTAAAGAATAATGAAGCATAAACTTCAAACATTAAATCTGTACAAGGAAATTTCAATTAAAAAAATGTACACGTTGAATCTCGCAAACTAGATCCCAATGCAAGCTTTATGTAAATAAAATATGACTGGGCAGATGTACTGCAGTCGGGGATTACTACTTGCACCGAAGAAAAAATTGGCGCAAGTAGTATTGATTATCGACACGAAGGGAGAAAACGTCGAGATAAGGATGTTCTTTCTTGCGTTTACTTCATGATACTGATAATGCGCGTGATTTTCTCACAGCTCGTCCTTTCGTGGAACATCGTCGTCCTCGTCCTCCTCTTCAGTCTGAAAATGAATATTTATTTATACATTAATTCAAATAATAATTATTACACAAACTATTTTGGTATTGTAAATCTATATGCTCGATCCGAAGTAAAAGTAAAGATTTCTAATGCTCTTCGATCTTAATATTGACTTTCACGTAGCTCATTTTTCTCAACGTTTTTCTTTGAAATATGTTAATTCAGAGCGTGCGATAAAAATGTCCTTAAAAATAATGCATTAACAATAATCAACGTGTTTTCGTGTAAAAAAAATAAAAATAATAAAATAAAATATAAGAAAATAATAAAATAAAAAAACAAAAAAAAAAAAAAAAAAAAAAAAAAGAAGAAGAAAGAAGAAAAAAGAGACAGCTTATCAGCGGCTATTAAAGCTGTGATTGTGTAAAAGCTAATGATTAAAAATTATGTACTGATTAATCGTGACGAGAAATCGTTATGGTTACATAAAAAACGTATGCACGAAAAAGATAAATTAAAACTGGTCTTGTTATCAACGGGCCATCATACATGCATACATACATTATCAAAAATAATTGCGAGACGAATGAAAAATGTCTGCTAAAATAGAATCGAAAATTAATTTCTCTCACCTCCTCGACACCTTGCTCATCGGCACCATCGGAATCAATGAACTTGGACAGATCGTTCAGTGTTCTTTCACCGTAGTATTCAACAGCCTATTGAACAACAAGATTTAAGATTTTAATTGCAATACTCGAGGCTAGGAATTCTTTTTAATAATTATATTATCATTTAATATGAAATAAGCGCGCTACCTCGTTCGTTTCAGCCTTGTACAATATGATCTTAGGGAAGCTGGAAATTGTAATATCTTCCAATTCATTGGCAGTAGCATCCATCTTGGCGATGACTACTTTCTCGCTATCCTTATATTTCTCCCCAAGCTAAAGTGCAATATTCCTTATTAATAAATCTTTTCATTATTCAAAGCTTAAGTTTGGTCGAATCAACGATATTTGTTTTCGATGAGCGGCCTTAACGCGTTAAATGCACAAACCAAGCGAAATGAATCAATAAAAGACGCTTGAATTAAATTTATTTGAGTATTAACTTACAGCTTCGTAGATCGGGGCGAGTTGTTTGCAGTGTCCGCACCATGGAGCATAAAATTCAACGAGCACGTGCTTGCTTTTGTCATAGGCAACCTCGGCGAAGTTGGTACCGACAAGGACCTTGACGGGGTTCTTGTCCCAATCTTCGGGCAAATCTTGGGTAATTATATGCCTCTTCAGTTTACCATCAAGGAACGTGTTAACGAATTCCTTGATATTGTCAACAGTCAGATCTGTACTTTCGGGTTTGTACTTGGGCATGTCCTCTTCGAGTTGAATGATACGCATGGCGGGCATGTTCTCTTTTTTCAGACCGAAGAAGTCGAGGATACGCTCGTGGTCGGCCTCGTCGGCGTTGATGGTAACAAACAGAATCTGAACGAGAGTACATAATGGGATGTTTAGCATTGGCAAATAATAGACAGTGTATTATTTTTAATTTAATTGCTGAAATTATATTGGACTTACCTTTCCACGGTACTCTTCGGCTGGTTTCGTAAGTGATTCTAAATATTTATCAAAGTGACCGGCTTCTTGGCTGAAGAAGAGAAGAAGATGATTTTTTATTTTGCCACTGAAAACCTTACGAGCAGTTTCCTGATTGAATTCCACGATTAAAGGTAAAGATTCTACTTGAACAAAATATGTCAGCTTATCCACGGTGAGTTCGTCAACGAATTCAATTTGTTTGTTGTCAAACTAAAATCAAAACATAGATGATTATCCATTTTAATTAAGTTTTTTTTTTTTCTTCCTTTTGCTCAAGTATTTACAAAATTAAAATATTATTATTACATTCTTGAACAGGAAGATTTTATTATCTTCGACTTTGTACTCTGAAAATACTTCATCGCTACTGGAGACACCAAACACGTGATCGTCGATAGCATTACCAACTTCCATAAATACTTTGGCTTTTTCAGATTCAAGGTCCTAAAAAAGAGAAAATCCAAGATTAACAGTATGCATGGTTTTATTTTGTCAAAATTATCGATACGTCGAATAGTATATATAATTTCTAGGGGATGAAGTACAATGGAAAAAAAAGAAAAAAGAAAAAGAATTGGATCATTTTTTTAGTCGATTCTTATATAATTGTTTTCTTCATTGTTAAGAAATATCTTTAAAACTGAATTTCTATTATTAGTGAATCAAGTTTTTACTAACCTTAAAGAAACCAACAATGGCAACATTGTTGTTCTCGATGAAAGCTTTAACTTCTTCGACACTCTGTAAATCTTTGGCAGGAGGCCCAGTCCTCTTGGTAACCCAGTTAACAATATCTTCAGCCTTACGACCACCGCTATATTCAATGTGAGTGCCTTTGCGATAGAACTTCAAGGTCGGATAACCCTTAACTTCGTATTGCTCTGCCAAGTCGGTTTCAATGGTGGCATCTACTTTAGCAAGTTTCACTTCAGAGTTCTGCTCCAGTAATGTCTTGGCAGCTTTGGCGTACTCTGGAGCTAAAGCCTTGCAATGCCCACACCATGGAGCATCTGGCAAATTATTATTTTTATTTTTAATTTGCTTCACTTTTACAATCTCACTGTATGTATTATTAATTGTATTAATTGTAATCGTTAGTCCACGTATCATGTACGATTTCTTTTTCTTTTTTTTTTTAAACCATTGATTTTTCATGACTCGATTTCTTCTTCCTAGTCAAATTTATACATTATATGCCAGCAATAATATATATAAATAACGTTTCAAAAGGTTTAATCGTTCAAAGCTATTGATTTTGATTTAAATATATCAAGACCATTAACGGCGTATCCTTCTTCTAAGTAACGAAATATGAGAATAAAAATAGTTTGATTTTGAACAAACAGGCTTGTAACACGAGTGTGCATTAAATTCAAACGCTCGAGTAATTATATTATTAAAAATTTCTTAAATTCAATTCGAAATCATTGCATTTCCCCCTGATATGTATTTATGCCACATATTAAACATTCACTAAATATAATTTACACCGAATCAAATAATGATTATTTTTAATTTATGTATATCTTGTGGTTTTCTGTTTTGTTGTGCTCCTCGGTTAGCATACAATAGAAATCCTTCGCTTATTTAATTTGTTATTACCGATATATTAATCTTGTGTGTGCCGAACAAGAATTTGGTTCTATAAAAAACCCGTACATAACAATTAATTTCTATTAATATAAAAATACCTATTAAAATAATACAACTGTCTATATTTCATAATAAACTGTCTTGATGACACGAGGCAAATTATATTAAGGGAAATTTCATATCAAAGGTAAGTTTTGTAATATAATTACAATGAAATTTCTTTAAGTACAATCAACTGACTTAGTAATAAAAGAGCAAATAATTATTTATTATTTGCTTATTGAATGGAATACCAACTAGAATGATCATAAATATAGAATTAAATATTGTAAGTTATAAATTTTATAAAATAATGGCTTGTTTTTGTGATGCGAAATAATTTGCATTAATAAAATGAATGGTTTACAGTTAATTTAATGGGACAAGTTAGCGATAAGTTCTAAAAAAACTTACATGTAATCTAAGTGATATATTTTATCAGTATTCCATATTTTATATACTTTGATTGTTTTGTCAGAAATTGGTCAATCAAAAATTGATATTTTAATTATAAAACCAAAAATGTTGTTCAAAATATGTATGCCATTAAATTAATAAAATTTTAACATAACGTGATCGAATGTGATTAATGAAGAAATAGGTCGTTTCCCCTGAATTGTAGGTCAAACGAGCAGAGAGAATATTTGAATGTAATAAATTTAGTAGAAAGTTAATGGTTAAAGAATTTTGTCGACTAGAAGAAACGGCGTCGAAACTTTCAAATTCAATAAATCACCACTACAGTTAATGACAAACGTTTTTTATTAAGATTTAATTCTTTGCATCTAGAAGATTTGCTGTATGCGAGTGCATTGGATTAAGACCAAAAGTAGGAAAAGTAAGTACCGATGAAAGAATTATGTAAGCGAGACTTTTACTTTGCTTTACTTTACTTTTCTTTTCTTTTCTTTTCTTTTCTTTTCTCCCCACCCCCCTTTTTTCCCTTTCTTAACAAAACTATCAAAATTATGATAAGCTATCAGCGTAGAAAAAAAACTTCTTTTTCTTGGCATTAGTATGGACTGCTCTTTGTCTCTTATATTAAGACTTTAGATAAATACGCACCCAACTGCTTATGGAAATACCGGGGGAAAAAAAATCTAATATTGACAAATGAAATTTCTTGAATAGTTTTTCAAGTTTGATAACATTTTAAAGCATTGCATTAAAGACTAATTAAATATTAGTACAAGCGACAAGAATAAAAAAATTTTATATTACCATAATTTTGATGATATTTTTATTTGCCTTTGGACTTTGATCAACCGATAATTTAAAAAGTCTAAAGCTGAAAAATCATGAAAAATCCTACCATCAAATGAATTTACTCAAAGTTTAAAAAATGTTAAATTAGCGCTTATTATATTATCGAGCACCAAAATGCTCGTGAGCTTGTCTCATGTCCAATTTCAACATGATAAAGTGCCACCTCTGACATTTATTTGCTTAATTTCATCAAATTTACAGTACTGCCCATTAAATAAATCACTTAATCACTCTCTCAGCCGCTTATAGGCCGCAACAAATTATAAAAAGAAATGAAAAGAAATGAAAAGAAATGAAAAGAAAAATCCTTCCCACTCGCGGCTCTTTTAATAATTTTTAACAATTTTGTCCAAATCGTCGAAATGATGGTGGCGTATAATAGAGAAAAAAATTCACCAAAAAGCAGCCGAGAACTCGGTTTTAAATCTCGAGCTAAGGAAAGTCGAGTCACTGGCAAAAAAAGTTACCTACTTATTTTATTTTAGCCTCGCTGTAGCAACTTTGATGTGACACATCCCGCGGAATGGCCCGCGACGAATATACCGTCAGTGATAACAAAATTACGGGAACGTTCGAAAGTTGGAGACTTTGGTATTGGGTAAACATATGCGAGCAGGAGGAAAGTTATGTCGAGAAAAAGGATCGACCGCTAGTCGCAGGGCGCTAACACACACTCAACGATGCATCCGCATTTAAAATGTGAAGCATCGTCCGTCCAGCGATCATTCGAGGGCGCACGTACACGCTCGCAACTAACACACGCAAACACCCACACAACGGAATACGAAGATTCAAGGGATTTTCGTCCCGGTATATAGAGTGCAGGGATGCACGGTCGCGTTGTCGGGAATCCCACGCATCCACGTACATACCCGCGGTATTTCACTATATATTAATAAAGTAGCGAGAAGCCGCTGAGAAATTACCATAATGGCACTTTATCGCGTCTCCGGTCAAACATTCAACGATCGAGAGAAACTCGCGCGCGCGCGCGCGCGTTCTGCATTCCCTGCCTGCTTCTGCTTCATCACACGACATTTTCGATTGTACGGCAAAAGAGTGTGAGTGAGTGAGTGAGTGAGTGAGTGAGTGAGTGAGTGAGTGAGTGAGTGAGTGAGTGAGTGAGTGAGTGAGTGAGTGAGTGAGTGAGTGAGTGAGTGAGTGAGTGAGTGAGTGAGTGAGTGAGTGAGTGAGTGAGTGAGTGAGTGAGTGAGTGAGTGAGTGAGTGAGTGAGAGAGAGAGAGAGAAAGCTTATAAATAAAGTAAAGGAAAAAAGAAGGAGTGCAGGAAAAACAGCGCGACGACAAATGAAAACGCTCGCCGCTTATCAAGGCGCAGTGGGGCTGAGGTAACGGGAAGAAAAGAAAAAGGAAGATGCGCTGACGTGGACAAATCTAGCGGTGATCTTTCCAACCGACACGGGGACACCATAGCCGAGATGCGCAACAGGATGCCTGGACGGATAAGAAGGGAAAACGGAAAGATATATATATATATATATATATATCTATATATCAGAAGGGTATGGCTGTCGATCGCGTCCAAAGTCCACTGTAACCGCCCTGGACCAGGAGGCGAACGTCAGTCACCCAACGGCGTCGCCCCGATACTCACAGTACTTGAAGAGAATATAGTCGTACTTCTTGACAGCCTCCTCGAAGTTGTCCTTGGTGATGACGAGCACATCGCTGTCCAGCACGATCTCGGCGCGCGTGGCTCCAAACAGGAGACAAGCCCCGACGACGGTAGCGAGCAGTGCGAACTTCATCCTTGGCTTTCTCGCGAACAAATGGCCGATGGCGGTCGTGAGCACCGCGCGTATACGTACGCCGTGCTTCCACGGAACATCCACGACCGCACCACCAGCCGTGCCTATCGGATGAGAGAGGGAGAGAGCTCGTCGAGCGGCGTGAGGAAGGCGTCGGGATGGGGATAGACCGTCGGTGGCGAAGGGGGGAGCGCGGTAGCGAGGAGGGTCGAGGGACATGGAACGCGCGTGCCGGCGGCGGAGCGGCGACGTCAGCCGGCACGTCAGACTTACCGTCAGGTGACCGACACAACTCGACGCCCTCCATGTCTCGACCGCCCGCGGCGGCTGCGGCAACTGGGCCACGACGACGGCTGCTGATCCAATTAGGCCCGTCGTTATGGCTCTCTCCCGACCGGAATTCGCCAACATTGGCGATATATATGGCCGGAGGCAGTCAAGCCACCTTTCCACGACTTCCGCTTGGTTCGCTTCGCGTATCCGCGACAGACGGCCGTCGCCCATACGTCCGGAGGCGATCTTCACTCGTTCCCGATCATGACCAGCGCAAGAGGAAGACGGATTTGGCTCGTCACAACCCGACGCGCACTCACGTGTCTACCAACCCCTCGGGCATTAATCTCAGTGAACTTATCGTTCCAATGACGTCGGATTATTCGTTAGCCGCGTGGCCCTTTGTGCATGAGAATAAACGGGGAGGTTCGTAAAAAGTTTATGAGCTTGCTCGAGGAAGTTGCTCGAGGAGCGGGCCGAGTTGGGATGGGCTGGGTGGGCTGAGCTGGGATGGGCCGGGTCGGGACGAGCCGAGCCGCTCCACTTCGAGCCTCTCCCAAACGCATACGTATTTCAGGTGCCTTGGTACTTGGCGCTCGTTGTACTCGTTTAGTGCTCGGTCGCAGGGCCGTCGAGTTTGGTGCTGGGGAACATCCAACGAGGATCCCTCGTTGAGTCGTGGAACGCGGATGGTAAATCATTGAACAAATTATAGTGTAAAGCGAATGGTGTTATTGGGGGGTTAGTACGATTGCGTTAAAGATATACGTCGAGCTGTTTTCTCTCTGTGTACGTACGTACGTACGTACGTACGTACCAAGTTTGTAAGTTTAAAAGTTATTTGCCAAGTGAAATTCGAAGAAAAATCCGAAAAATTATTCTCATATCGTCGCTCGGATGATCGGCGCGGCTGCTTCGTTCCCGTGGTTTGTTTTTCTCTTTATTGTTGTATCGTTCCTTTCCATCTCTTCCTTTTCCCATTTCCTTTTCACCTTAACTGTAAAACCTTTAAGGGCAGGCAAATCGTCAGGGAGTAGTTGGTCGATTAAATATTATCAAAATATTATTGAATCACGTATACACTCACCTGTGCAACACGATGCAGCGCACAAAGCCGGTGTAGTCGGAATCGTAATACGATGCCGGACAAAAACATATGTAAGATTTTTACTGTAATCCATGATATATTAAAATACAAATTTGTGTTTTGATCGATCGTAATTTATGAAGAGAAAGAGAGCTGTGAATAAAACTTATTGGACGTAATGTTGGGGGCCTCAACTTTGGCAGCTCTTACGTAGAGAAAAAAAATTTCAAAAATATTCAATGCGTTATAATGCTGCTCCTTGGAGTGAAGCGACAGTTTTTATTTACCATAATTACATGCGATCGAGCATATGTCGTAAATATTATTAATTAAGGAATGATACTTAGCTTACTGGGAACGTTTTGTAATTTAATGAATTTCTTACCGTATTTTTTTTTTTTGCGATAATAATAGTAGTAGTAGTAGTAGTAGTAGTAGTAGTAGTAGTGGTAGTAGTTATTGTTATATATATCGTTTTGTATATGGTTGTGGTTGCGTTAGTGGTGGCGGCTGATGCTGCTAATGCTATTACTATTGTTATTACTATTGCTACAAGTAGGATGCAAGTTTACATACACAAAAACACTGGAATTATATAAAATGCCCAAATAAATGAACGATTGAAATCCATCGTTTGGGACTACTGATCGCGCGTCTGGTTATTTACGATGCTACGCGAAAAAAGAGCAGAAACGTTAATTATAAAATTTAAGTATTAATATTTTTAATCAGGACTCTTGCTCTTAATGATTCTGCGATAAGAAATATCTTTATCAAGATCTTACATCGCGACCTTACAAGTTAACGCATGTTTATATCCATATCATTCGAATAAATTATAATTTTTAATCAACTTTAGACTTTGATTGCGTTTGCCTATACACCTCAATCATCATCGAAGATCGGCGCACGTAATACTTGCAAACTCGAAGTACGAATGTAATATCGTTAATTAATGTTTATAACAAAAGTTTTTATCGAACCAATCAATTTGAAAGTATCGTAGAGCCCCAAAGGTGAAAATCCGCGTTAGGATATCGCTTAGGGACTAATAACGCATTCTCGATAATTTACCCTTTAAAGAGACCCCCCCCCCCCCCCCCCCCCCACCCCCTTCTGTTCTCACAACCCCCGAAGTTCATTAATTAAGCGAGTGCTGCGGCGGTACTTGGACCAACCATCGTTCGCTCGCAACATCCGTGGCGAAGGTTGTTTTAAGACGACACCCCACCCCAACCGCGAATAATGTAATGACATTGGAGTGTGAGATAGCAATGTTTTGGCATTTGGTTGAACGGTACCTTCGCCTCTTGCCCTCACAGTCCAAAGTCCCAGCCCCCTTCCCCTTTGCCCACCCGAACCCACCACCGCTTCAACGAGATACAGACAGCAAAAGGTCCCGATGAAAGTACAAGCGACAAAAGCCATCCCCCTGGAAAAGGAGTTTTTTTATTTTTTATTATTTTTTTTTTTCTTTCTTTCTTTCTTTCTTTCTTTTTGCGGCTCGATGGCGGCTGCTACTGGGGAACGAGGGGCTCGGCTCGGCTCGGCTCGGCTCGGCGTCTGACGGTCAGGGCCTCGGTAAGCTGACGGTACGGGCACCGGCATCGTCAGACGCGCCGGAGTTCGTAATCCCCGGAGGGACGGACGCACGCGTGGCATTGCCTCCGCGCCGTGGTGAGCCCTGATTGGGCACGAGGTTGCGCGCGCGCCAACGGAGAGTCGCACGACGACACGTCGTCCACCCGGAAGACGCTCGCGCTCTTCCTCGTCCAAGGTTAGGGCCGCTCGGTGAGCCGCTCGACTGATTCAAGATACCCGGCTGTGGGGAATTGCGACGGCGAGGGAAACGGCCGTCGGGCGACGTAGCTTTATTATTTAAGCAATGCGAGACAGCCAACCCTCCCAAGCCCTTCGTCGTTCCCCGGCTCCCACGGGGATGCGCGCGCCTCGCTCGAGCAGCTGATCGCCGAGGGGGAGTACCGCTGTCAGGCGTCCGAAAATAATTGGCGCGGGTGTGTGCGAGCGCGCGCGCGCCAGCCACCAGTGCGTCTCGCATCGTCACCCGGGCGAACGCAGTCCGCGGCGGCAGTCATCTCGGGGATGATTGTCGATGGGCGGACTGTCGGCATTGAACTTGAGCAACGGATCGCGGAGGTACGGAGGATCGATCGCGGCCCTGGCTATTAATATAAGTGAGTTGAGCCCGTGGCCGTGAGAGCGGGCCACTCCGTTGTGGAAATTAATTCAGCGGTTTGGCTAAATAATTGATTGAGGCTTCTTCTCGACGTTGTCTCGATTGTTGGGGCAGCCGTTGTCGTGCGCGGGTGGTGGCCTCCCATTAATCACAAAACAACAACGGCCGGAGGAACCAACCTGTTACATTATAGAGTCGATATTGGTGGTGTCGGCTTATACGAGAGTTGAGAAATAATTCGAGTTTAGAAATAGATTTCGTGAAATCGCATCGCGCTCGCTTCCTAGTCCGTTAATAGCTATATACATTGGGTGAGTTATGTGCTTTAATGATATTCTTGGAATTTCATGTATTCGTCAATAGTGGAGCTGGAGCAGCTGGAGCAGCAGCAGCAGCAGCAGTGAATGGCTTCGCCGCGATCATTTACGTTGATGGGGGGATGGGGAGTGAGGCATATCTTGGCGAATTTGGGCGTTGAGTTTTTGCTTCGGGAGGTCATATTCGATCGTAATCGCGGACAAACATTGCATTTACTTGATGCTGCCAAACTAATAATCCTTTTAAAATAAATAAACCTTACAATCGCGATACCCCCCGATAATACATATAATGTCTTGACGATATTTTTGATGGTATTTTTTTTCCGCCTCTAATTTTATGATTTTCCCGCAGAAAGTATACAGAGATTCGATAAGAATTGTTGAAATTCTAATTTAACACGCACTCGAAATTATATATATATATATATCATTATTATTATCTTTTATGATTTTAACCTTGCATAATACTGTGAGTTGCACGTACGCAGGTGAATGTATGATGGTTTTGATAAACAACAGTCATTTGCGCTGCTTTAGGGATTTTCATAAAAAAAGAAAAAATAAATAAAAAAATTATATATATATATATATATATATAAATATTTTTCTTTTATTTTATTTCATTACTTTGTGTGTGTGTGTGTGTGTGTGTGTACGTGTGTACGTGTGTGCGTGCGTGCGTGCGTGCGTGCGTGCGTGCGTGCGTGCGCTTGTGCGCTCGCGCACGTATATAGTATTATTGTATGCTATATATGTTTTAAGCGATATTTCAAATGAAAAAAGCTTATTTATTTATTTGAAATATTCGCGTTCCTATTACTTTTAACATTAATGAATTATCAGAAGCTGTATAATGACAGACATAATCACAATTATTTATTAGACGTTTCTATATTTATCATGCACTTTTATTGGCATGCATTAAAATTTCTACAAATAATTTTATTACTTCTTCATTACATTTGCAATATATAATTTTACTATTACTCTATTTATTATTCTATAAATTACAAAACAAATTAATAATATATTACTGACAATTAAGGTAATAAAAATAAGTACAGAGTTCAAATAACTTCGTACAAATAATGTTGTTTAATTTATAAATGAGTTATTTATGAAAGATTTCAGTAAAATTAATATTATTCGCATCACAAGGAGTTTTTAATGTGTTAAGCATAAACATCAAACAAAAATTTTTTTACACGCGTAATTCAAACTATTATGTATTCTATATTATTTTTATTATTATTATTATTACTATTATTATTATTACTATTATCATTATTCTTATTCTTATTGTTATTATTATTATTATTATTATTATTATTATTATTATTATTATTATAGATCGTTTATACAACTCATCTACTTAGGAAATTATAATACGTCGCGATTTTTGAAAACATGAAATTTATTTTTCTTAAAAAACAATGTAGTGTTAAGTATAAATTTGATAATATTTATGAGATAACATTTACAATGCTTTGCATTTAAGTAATACAGTGACATTGTAATATCAAACCGTTAATTAAACCTTTAAGCGTTTGTTTGTTTGTTTTTGTTTTCAACTGCGTCAGCAGAAATTGGCATGCAACAAAATTTAAAGTATTTTCAGATACTTCATTGCAGATTTTGACAGAATTTGAATATTTTCACATTTTACACGCGATATTATAAAAAGGCAGAGAAATTATTTTTTACAAAAGCTTACACATTTTTAAGTGATAAACATTTTTAGCATCTATGAGTGTACGTTGATTCAATTTCACAGGGATGATGAAACTTTATGTTTTTGCCATTATTTTGCCTGCAGAAGTAGCTGCAGGCTACGAAAAAATTGATACAAAAAAAAAAATAAATAATAAAAAATAAAGAAATAAATAAAAAAAAGATGATAATTATGGGCGCGTCACGCTTAATCGAGGGTTAGCGAGTTATAGTTACCTTTTTGAGAAAAAAAGGAAAATTATAAAAGTTACCCTCTACACTTAAAGAAATTTGAGATAAAATACATAAAGGCTTGTTTTTTCATTTATCTCTTAAATATTCCCGAAATTCACTTATATATATATATATATATATATAAGTAATGTATGAACAAATTGGAAACTCGCCTGTAAAGTACACTTAATTTTGATGAGAACAGTTTTTTTTTTTGTTTTTTTTGTTTTTTTTTTAAGTAAAAACGCATAACATAATCCAGTAATTTGTTTATTATAATTTTCGAAATTATACTTTATAGAAAATGTCGGCTTACAAAATAAGGTCGGAAGTTTTGAGCGAAAAAGACTTGGCGGCCGAAACACAAGTGCAAGAAAGTAAAAGTGAGCATTATAGTGTAATTCTCGTTATTTGATCATTTAGTGTTTGACTATTAAAGTATGCAGGATTCATTTTTTTCGTGCTTCAGATGCTGTATCCAAGTTCTTTTTCAAGTATCCACCGCACATGCGAAAAAGTCGTTTGGGGAATGGAGTTTTAGAGTACGACGAGGACGGCGACTTGATCCTGGATCGCAGTGAAGAAAGAAGTATTTTAATTGGTACATAATATCTTGCAGTTTTCGAACATTGTAATCTTAGCTTACTAGCGAATCTCTGTACAAAAGTGTTTTATCGTCAAAAGAGTTAGATACTACGTTAATCAAATGATTAGAATAGATTTTTATGATTAAGGGATAAGATGCGAAATGGGTACACATCGCCAAGCAATGAAATTCTATTTATCCTTTAATTAACAAAGAAAATAATGAAAGGAAAGTGGCGTATATTATAAGCGATATATCCATTATCAATATATATATATATATATATATATATATATATATATATATATATATATATATATCTCTTGCGCGCTTACACTTACGTATATATATATATATATATATATATATATATATCGCTTGCTTGCTTACACTTACGGTATCCGGAGGTATTCCGAAATTAGGTTTCTTATAAAATATTCCTATACATTAATGCGTGCCATGGGAGCTCATTTAATCATTTACGTAACAGTTGAACGATCGTCTTAATAATCGATTAAAGGCAGGTTAATGCTTGTTTCTTTTTATTTATTTATTCTTTTTTTTTTTGTTTGTTTGTTTTTTTTTCTTCAAAAATAACGTACGATACTTTTAAGAAATTCGAAAATATTTATGATGGATGGACATTTGAGACACTCATTGCAGTAGACCAAAATTGATAATTTTGAAAAGGATCTTTATGGTTAATTAGATATAAAGTAACGATAATATTGTTTTATTGACAATAGAGCATAGTACGGCCACGGAACTCAAGTTGGTTGGCTTGCAAATTTGGCGCGGTGCATTACTACTTGGCGATTACATTCTATCCCACCCAGATATATTTCAAAATAAAACCGTTCTAGAATTAGGTTCTGGAGTCGGTTTTGATAGTATTATTGCCGGTATGTCAGCGAAGGAAGTCATTTGTTCAGGTACACCTTTAATTTTTAAACATTTTTTTCCCACTTTGAAATCGATCTTTCGACTTTCTTCTCACTTTAATTATTTATTTATTTTATTATTATTATTATTATTATTATTATGTATGTATCTGATGTCGTAAATATCAATGTCAAATTAAAATTATATACCTTTTTGGACAAAAATAACATTTCGTACAATCTAAAGCCAAAATTTTTTTAATTTTAAGCCTCTAATGTCGTTGTACATATATAAATGCATTAATAATTTGTTGAAAATCATTGATATTTGCAGATATATATTTATTATCGCCCAATATATTTTCAGACATCAACCTTGGCGGGATACTTAAGCTGATAGAAAAGAACTTTGAAAGAAATAAAGTTCTAATAAAATCTAATGTTACCATAACGGAACTTGATTTTTTGAATACAGATTGGAATACAACTTTGAAGAATAAAGTTACGAAAGTGGACGTTATAATGGCAGCCGACGGTAAAGCATTACAATACCACTCCAATAATTTATAATGTTAATATAAGATAATAGTAGTAATAGAAATAACTGTAGCAATAATAGTAATAATAAATGTAATAATAATAATAACAACAACAACAACAACAACAACAACAATAATAACAATAACAATAACGAGATCAATAATAATTAATGGTAGTAGTGTGGTAGTAATAGTAGTACTAATAATAGTAGTAATGGTAGTAGTGGTGGTATAAAAATAGTGAAGCCGAAATTACTTGATTATCAAAACGCATTAAAACTTGAATTGGCCTTAATTTCTTATTTGCATTGTTATCACTATTTGAGAAAATTTAATTTAATCATACAACTGGAATTTCAAAGAAATTTAATTCTATTAATGCAAACTGTTGATAGCGAACGCACGTTGCCTGCCTGGAAAGTAAATTTGTTTTTCGATTCAATAGGACTACAAGATATTAAACATTTTGTCACAAACAGACATGTGGAGCTCGGTTAACGCGTTAAAATTTTAATTTTCGTATTGAAATTTTCGTAGAGCTCCGTCGTGTCTGAGTAAAGGAACGGAAATACAAATACACACGATGCCAGGCCAACCAAAATAATAATTATTAACGTCTGACTTTCAGTCATTTACGACGATAAGATAACGGACGGCTTCGTGAAAACTTTGACGAAGCTCCTGGATTTACCAAACGTGCGACAAGCTTATGTGGCCATGGAGAAGCGATACGTATTCACGATCACCGATCTCGACTCCGTGGCCCCGATGTACGAGGAGTTTTTACGATGCATTAAGCGCCGTAAATTGAACTGGTCGATCGAGGAAATTGATTTGGACTTTCCACAGTACTTCCATTATCAAAGGCTCAGTCAATTGTTATTGATGAAAATCGAGAAGAGGCATTGAGTGTGCTTTTTATATTTCGCCGGCCGTTGAATTTATGTGAGAATGGATGAGCAAAATAGTCGATTTTTCATAAGATTAACAATTTCGTCATTTTCTAAATACAATATGTCACGACTTGGCGCAACGACGTGAATTGCAATGGCGCGAATTATTATCAGTCATATTGATATCAGAGGTAATGTAAATTAGTTGAGTAGTAGCGATGGAAAATTGACTATTCTCTCTCTCTCTCTCTCTCTCTCTCTCTCTCTCTCTCACACACTCTCTTTTATGACAATGTAAATAGTAGAAATTGTATAAAGAAATGTAGTTTATTTTTTATATATAAAGAATAATTCGTAATAAGCGCAAAATGTTCATAAATAATAAGATGTACAATTGAAAAAATTCAATAAGTAATTTGTTTTTCGCTCTATTAATAATAGAATCTAAGCGTGGCCACGACAAGCGTTCGTTCACGCATACTTTCTTAACAAATCTTCCAATTCCGACTATACATGAAAATTATCAATTTTGGATGTACTTATTCTACTATATAAGGCTATCCTTTGCTTCATGCTTGCCATTAAATTATTGCCGAGCAATTCGCAAACTCAGTAATAACAAGCCCGTAAACAGCCTTAAGCTTTCGAGCGACGAATGCGCAATCAGCTCCAATAAAAAATATTACTATATTTGTTTTTTTGTTTTTACTTGAATCACAGTATCCTTTTTTTCTTTTTCTTTTTTTTCTTTTTTATTGCGCGGGCACGCCTGAAAACGCGTCTCGACTTAATATGCGTTTGCGACATCCTCGAACTTGGATAATGCGCGTGCATGGGCTATTTAACGGGCGTTTTAATGTTCCAATAACACATTCGGCAAAGGGAAGGGAAGGGAAGGGGTGGGTGGGGGGGGGATGAAGAAGGTTAGGGAAGAGCGAAATTTCTAATCGCCGCCTCCTTGTATTACTTAAAAAGTTTATTCGTAATTAATCGCGAGGGCTCGTGCGACGGTATTGATTCACTTATCGCACGAGTTGGCAAAAGGCCATGATTTTGCGCGCTGACAAAAGGCCGGGAGTACAAGCAGTAAAGGATAAATCGCTCGCTTTTTTTTAAGATAAAAGACAGTTACTTGGGCAGTACAACGAGCCAAGGGTCACGGAGTTGGCACGCACTCACATTAGACAATAACTTCTTAGTCAGAGCCAGCTGAATGAATTTGTTACGTCGAGCCTGTTGATCCGTTTCTTCTCGCAGAGGCTCGTTTTCGCGACGCACAACTTTACCTACGGGAAAACGTGTTGTATATCTTCAATATTCACGATATAATTCATTCCATTCGTCAACGGCGCTCTCTATTAATATCACAAGCCGATTTGCCTTACTCGCCCGCTTCTCGCATAGCCACGCTTATCGTCCTCTCCACTCCCATTTACTTATTTTCCCATATTAGCTCGCGATTTTTTAATTCTTCATCCCGAGAATGCCGAATCGCTAATAAACGATCGCGCGAGATGGACGAAGGAATTCTATTGTACTCCATCACCACCAAAATAATCATCAAAGTCGCGTTAATACCTGGCAATCTATTGGATTTAACAGAGCCAAACGAGAGGAGAAACGACGCGATAAACGTTCGCCCCTCGAACACCAAAAAACCATCGTCAAACAATCGCCGCGTTATTCTATCAATCGATTTCGCAAAACCGACGACGCAAAGCCAGACGATGCTCCAATCCAATTTTAAATGCAGGCAAAGCTCGAGAAGCGCGATCGAACGATTAGCGGAAAAGCGAATATTCACCTCCGTTGGAGTCCCCGGCGTAATAAATAACGTCGACTTCCCGGTTCCACTGGACGCTTCGTCTCTTGGAGTCGAAGATCTGAGCGCAAGCCATGCCGGCGAAGTTCTCATCGGGCAGGTCGAGATTCAAGTTGAGCGCGAAATCCTGCTGCACGTCGCCCGAGCCGTAATCAATTGCGCTCTTGGCGTCCGTGGGATTTTGCGCGCACTGATCCTTGGTCATCGAATTAACGACCGACGAATTCTCGACGAGCCTCAGCTTCTCGAAGTAATCTAGAATTTTGCCGGCCGACTCCTCGTCCTTCGCCTCGCTCGTCCCCTGTCGCTTTACCGTGCTCACGTTGTCGTTCAAGTCCAAATCGGCGCTCTCCCCATCTTCTATCCTTGACTCGTCGGCGCTCTGCGCGACTTTGCCTAAATCGCGATTAAGGGCGTCAAAGGAGGGAATACTCGCCGGCTTTATCTTCGTTAGGGCCAACCTGCAGCTTGCCCCGGAACCCAACGAATGTTGGAGGAATTTTTTTTTGTTTTTGTCTCTCTCACTCACACACACACACACACACACACACACACACACACACACACATATACACATACACACACAGAGAGAAAGAGAGAGAGAGAGAGAGAGAGAGACTCACTGTGGAGAAGCCAAGGTTCATACTAATCAGTGACTCTATAACTTTTACATTTTATTATATTACAAAATCCATGTTGTTGGAAGCGCGTGTTGCCTATCCCCGGGACCTCTAATTATATTAGAATGCAAATTTAATCAGCAAATGTTGTTATTTTATTTTTAAAAAAAAGCTCGGATTATAAAAATTGTGTCTAACTTTGTCGCTTGATTATTCAATTTTCATCAAATAACGTCCAATGAATTGCCATTTTCGATGAATATGAAAAATAGCGAACAACAATGAATAATGTTTAAATCTGTTTTCTAACCAACGACGCGAACTTCCTGACAAACGTGTAATATATGCATATACGTGCGTATGTGTGTGCGCGCGCGCCCGTATATACTTATGCAGACTCTATTCAACAAGCTTCGCTATAACAAAGTTTATGATAAATATTTCTTTATTTCTTTCACGGCTAATGTTAATAATGTTAATAGTGTGATATCTTTTCATTGCTTTTATGACTTTTAATATGCTGATCGATTGATCCCAAATCCATCGCAATACACCACCTCGTATTATTAGGAGGCAAAATAATATCAATGCTGATAATCGATGGCCAACGGGTGTCTTTTTTATTTAGTAAAATATCGCAACTCATAATTAATTATTTAAAAATAATCGTAATTAGATAAATTCAATTGTGAAGCTGCGGAGCAAGACGGTAATTGCTTAATAAAATGCGTGAGTTTTCTAACCAGATTTGTTAACCAGTTTCCACGGGCCAATAATGTTCACAAGTTTTTCATTTTCGTCCGTAACCTTTCTAATATTCACCTCGGATACGTTAGACTTGTCAAATTTCTTCCTGTAATACTTTTTCCTGCTGCGTTTGTCACCATTGTTCAATGTTCGGCCGAAAAGTATGTGCCGATTATTACTATTTCGCCGGCGGCTCTTTTGCCGATTATCCAATGAGTCTTCGCCCAGTAGTGTGAGCGATTTAAAACTTTTCTTATTTAATTGACAACGACGTGGGGGTAAAATGGATGCAGCTCGCGATTCGTGCTTCGAGATGACTGAATCTTCGTTGTTCTTTTCTAGTTGTCAGTTGCGTTAATTAGTCTCAGAGATATTGATTTTGGAGATGGGGGCTTTTCGTAACCATTTTTAGCGTGAATTCATTAACATTGTGGTTGCAAAATAAAGATCTTGTGGACCCTTTTTAATTCAACTTATACTTTGACGATGCTATTAATAGGGGCGCAGAGGCGGCGGAGAGGGGGGGGGGATTTTTTTTTTCAAATTTACGAATTAATAGTTTACTTAAAACTATAACTCGGACTGTAAACAATTGTGTCTCTCTTTACATTTTCCCTTCTGCAAATTCCGACCAACGAATTTAATTATGTTCTATGAATTTATTTTACCATCAATAAAATTTGCAATTCATTTAGTAGCTTAAATTTATAAATATTTAAAACACTGTAAATACAATAATTATTTGAATACAGGGATATAAAAAAAATATCATATGAAAATTAAAATATACGTTTTAGTAAATTTACGTGAACATTATTGTCAGAAGATAACATGTTGTTAAAATTATTGTACGCGACTGACTTCTACTACAAAGTTATTTTATTTTCGATTTATCACGATACTGAATTTTACAAAGCTCGAATGTTTAAATTCTTTAATGCCGCTACTCATATTCTTTATACGCAGGATAAACAATTGATTAAATCTTTCTTACGTAAATATCATAATAAAATAATCCCTATATTTTATTAACTATTATTCATCGAAAATATGCTGTAAAATTAAAAAAAAAAATTAAGTATTATTTAAACATTTGTATGTTCAAAATAACAATATAAATTTACTCATTATAGGATTTTCATAGCAAAATTACGTAATATATATGTATTTGTCTCTTAATGCAAAATTATTGTCTTTAAAATGTTGTAGAACGATCTCTATTAAAATAAAACAATCGAAAGAGTAGATTATTTTAAAAAGCAAACATTGATAATGACATAATGAGCGGAGCAAAGTTTACACATCCACTAACTAATATTTTGCTTATCTTGTGCACATATTATTCTACTTAGAATTTATATATACATATATATATATATTTTTTTTTTGCGTTTTCAAAAGTATTTAGTGTAAAAGCGACGCTTTCAATTATAGGAATAGAATTTATCGGAGCAATTATATTTGAATGAATTATTTTCAAAGCAGTTGTAATATAAATTATTAATCTTTCAGTTGATTTGGTG